GAATATAACACTCTTACTTGTTAATTACTGATTTAATGGGCTTTGGTATGCTTTCTACCAGTTTTCGTACTGTTTCTTCATTTATGTTTCTCCATTCTGCTGCAATTCTTGACCAAAGTTCGTTATGGTTGCTTGGAGGGGTTTCGTATTGGGCCAGCTTTCGTTATACAATTGCCCGCAGATTTTCTATTGGATTTAAATTCGTGCTTTGTGCTGGTCACTTTAATGTTTGAAAATGTTGCTCCTCAAGCCATTCTTTAACTATTTTAGCTGTATATTTGGGATCTCCGTCTTTTTCGAAAATAATTTCATTAATCGGATAAGCACATTTAACTATGAAATCAGGTAAATTGGTCTGGAGTATTGCAAGGTAATTTCATAATTCCATGTAAAACAATTCCATACCATTATACTGCCGCCTCCGTGTTTCATTGTTTGCTTTATATGGTTCGTTTGAATGCGTTCATGGGTTCGTTTCCAAAAATATTCTTTACCATCTGACTGGAATCTGTTGACTTTGGTTTTATCCGACCATATTACTCGTTTTCAATCATCTATAGACCAATGTTTATGTCACTTGCAGAATTCTAATCTTGCTTTCATATTTTTCGTAGAAAGAGCTGTACCTCGTTTCTGTAATTTTCTCCAATCGAAAAAAAAACTTAAAATATAATAGTCTTCCAGTTTTTAACAGTGTGACTCTGATTATTTTTAAACTGTACTCATTAAAATTTAGTAAGAAATATTTAAATTTCTTGTATTCACCCTATTTTACACAAGATGATCATGAATTTTTCGACAGATTTTCTCGATGCGAGAATTACAGAAACGGGGTACTGGTTTCTTTTGTTTAAATGCAGAGACTAGGCCAATTCTTTTTAATTCTCGACAAGCTGTCCACTCACTTACGTTCTTATTTAATGCAAGCGCTGCCCCTTTCAGAGTTTTTGTCTCATTTTTTCGTAACGAACGCTCCATTAACCGGGCATTGCTATCACTAAGAGACCTCGGACGACCACCTAGGTTTTGTTTTATTTGTTATTTATAGGTTACAGGACAGTTTAATGAAACTTTAGGTGTAATATTTTTGTTTCTACCACAATTAATAATATAAATTTTATCAAATAAAGTAATTACTTAGCAATATGCGAGCAATAGCGGGCTCGCCACTGTACATATGTATATTAGTGAGTGATTGTGTTTTTTTAGGAATATAATTGATATTTTACAAAAGTTCTATCTTGAAATTATATCTAAATTATGACTTTGCTGAAACTATAAAGAAATCGTTACGTTTCATGTGTATTTTGATCGTTTTTTTTTTTTTTGTCATCTTTGGTGGCTTTTGTTGGTATTATTAGTTAGCTTTTTCATTTACATTTTACATACATTTTTTAACTTTTAAACATTTGTATTAATTTAATTCAATGGGCCTATTGTTAAAGAGTTTTAGTCTTGTTTACTATTCGATGTTATTGTTTTCATTGCATTTTTATACCCTACACCACTATAGCGAGGATGTTCTTATGTGTTTGTGCTGATAAAATATATTGGACATACACCCACCTTAAACTACAACAATCGGCTCAGAATCACTTTCTGAAAGTTATGTCCGTCCGTTTCTGTGTCCATATAAAACTTAGGTGCCCGCTACAGGTCGCAAATTTAAATTAAATTTGGCACATACCTTTATCTTGGCCCAAGTATAAAGTCTATTGTTGAAATCGGTCCATTATTTCTCCTAGCCTCCATACAAGCGTACCCTTCGAATATGGATCTTGAGCTCATAGTTATGTTCAATGTTCTAGTATCTCTACAATAATTGGTACAACTTTGTTTTGTATACACAAGTTTTAATGTTACTGGCGATTTTTGTAACGATCGGGCCTTATATGAAAATGACTTGAAGGTTAATAATTCACTAATAAACATAAGTATTGCTATAAAATTCGTAAAAATTACTTTAATGTAAACGAAAATACCTCTAACAGCAATTTTTTAAATATTTCCGTATTAAGAAAAAAACAACTTATTATAAACAACTCAATGGTGTAGGGTATCATATGGTCTGCCAATGCCCGTCTATATATTCTGACTTGTTTTTATTTTCTATGCTGCATCTGTAAGATGCATTGAATACAATTTCATCGATGTCATTAGGAAACAGGCAAAATAACAAACAATAGACACATTAGATACAAATTTATTTTATGACTTAAGCATGATTTTGACTTTGAGTATAAATAAACGAAAAAGGAATTTATTGTAATTTTCTACTAAATTATTTTTATTTATTTAAATTAGTTATTGCAGGTGATTGAAAATAACCGAAAAAGAAATAATTGAAAATATATCGTAGTAATACTTAATATGTAGTAGAACAATTGTAAAGAATGGAGTTTAATATATTGGTTATTATATTGGTCCCATAATCAAATTTGGTAAAATACATGTTTTCAAAGATTTATACCTTTTATACAATACGTCACTGTAGTCAGAAGGTTACTATGAATCAGGGTTGGTACAATTGCACGTTTTTGGTACTATTCAATTCTCAAAAGTACAACCAATGACCCATTGGTACACCAATGACCCATTTTGTTTAATTTTATTTCCTTATTAAATTAATAACCTGAAAAATAACGGTAAAATTATCTACTAAACTTCAGAAGAGAAAATATATAATTATTATTTATGGCGTCATGAAATAACTCCCCACGAAATAACTCCCCAAAACAAAAATGAAATAACTCCCTAAAAATTTGTTCAGAATGCAAAAACAACGAAATTTGGGGATTTAATTCGTTTTTTGGGGCATTATTTCACATTTAAAATGGGGAGTTATTTCATTATGAAATAATTGCTCAAAATTCAAAAATGAAATAAATCCCTAAAAATATTATTGGGGAGTTATTTCATTATATTACATTTGTCACACGAAATAAATAATATATGTCTGATAGCCGGCCTTCGGCCGGGCGCAAGGGTTTTATCCTCTGGGGTACATTGGACACCGGCTTCGCTAAGAATACACTCGCCTAGTATCAAAAGTGTTCGGCCTTAGGCCGGCTATTTAGGAAATCTTTATTAAGCGAAGCCGGTGTTGGTCATATTTTAGAGCGGTAAATCCGCTTCGCTAAGAATACACTCTCCTTGTATCAAAAGTGTTCGGCCTTAGGACGGCTATTTAGGAAATCTTTATTAAGCGAAGCCGGTGTTGGTCATATTATAGAGTGGTAAATCCTTGCGCCCGGCCGTAGGCCGGCTATTTAGGAAATATTTATTAAGCGAAGCCGTTGTTGGACATACCATAGAGTAGAAAGTCCTTGCGCCCGGCCGCAGGCCGGCTATTAAGGGAATCTTTATTAAGCGATTAAACTGAAATGTATTAAACTTTGAAGCCCCACTCGAAAGTATGAGCGGCCTACTTTTTTTAGAAATGTCACTAAGACCGACTTGTTCCATAATTTGTTATTTTTAAATGGGAACTTATTTCATTTTAAAATTAGGGATTTGTTTCATATGAAATTAATCCCCAAAAAATGGGGTGTTATTTCATTTCAATTTAGGAAGTTATTTCATTTCGTTGGGGCTTTTTTTCATTTTTAAATTAGGGAATTATTTCATAATGAAATAAGTTCCCAAATTTAGGGAGTTATTTCATTTTTGTTTTGGGGAGTTATTTCGTGGGGAGTTATTTCATGACGCCCATTGACCAATCTGGGGACCAAATGGACTATTAGACTAGACTTATCTATGGGCTAATACAAATAAACTGTTAATTTTGAATTGTATTTGGTACAATTGGAATCAAAAAAGCACAATTTTAAATGCAGATTTGTACAATTTGAAAATTCTATTTGCCAACCCTGCTATGAATAGTAAGTATATTCGTCAGTGTGAAAGTACATATTATTATATGCTTATTCGTCAATTATTGACCGAATAACTCTTCATCCAAAGCTAAACCAATTTCACTTCTATAAAATTATTATTCGGGTGAGATTTTTATCGACAATGGGATGATATTTATCTCCAAACTTTAACGCAACATTTTTCTTTTATAAGGAAAATGTTAACTGTACCCTATACTATTTAAGTACACTAAAGATATAATTAACTTCATAATAGATAAACCGTGAAATATAAAATAACCAATTGACTACTGTTTACATTATAAGGAGTATATAAAAATATGTATGTCCAATTTCCAAAAAATATGTAATAACCAAGTAAATTGTAGTAGAAATTATAATCTATAAGGAATACAACTACAATTTGCTAGAAGTCTCCAGCAAAACCTCACCAAAAATGCGTACAAACATGTGTTTTTGTACATTTATCTATAAAAATGCAGACGTTAAAAATAAGTATGTACTCATTATTTTACCACCAACTAAACATGTTGCTAAACAAAAAATGACACGTGCTATTTAGCAATATGTTGGTACAACATCAAGTCAATAAAAGCTAAGAGCAATTAACATCAATGTAACGCAGCCGGAAGTATATTTCCCGCCATAAAATCTATAGATATAAACAAAATATTTCATGTGCGTACATTTGTCTGGTTAATAAGTATAAGAAGAACTTGCTGTATCTATAAATGTTGCTGCAATATGTTGCAAATGCATACTTACGTACGAATTTACAACTGTTGCTCGCTCAGACGAAGTGCATGCAGAAAGAAGGTATTATTCTTTACGATGTGCATCCGAAATGCATAGACAGTTGCACACAGAAAATCTCACATAAGTATATGGATGAATGTATGTATGTATGTTGGTCACAGTGAACAGCAACAAAAACTACAACGACAACAAATATTACTAACTACTAGCAACCATTCAGCTTAAACCGGCAGCAGTCGAGCAACTAAAACAACACACATTCAGTGTTTTCGTGTGTGTTTTTGTTGTTGTTTTAGTTTCTCATATTGCTGACTGAGTTGTTGCAGTCAGTCAGTCAGCAGTCGGTGTGTGAGTGGATGTAGTTGATCCGATGGATTGTTGGTTGGTTGCTTGGTTTGTTTGTTTGTTGGTTAGATGGATGGATGGAAATTTGCCTTTTTCTTACGTAAATAAGAATTTTGGTTTTTCAAAAAATTCAGTTTGTATCCGACTACCAAATGCAACGAACGGGTTTAGCGGCAATCAGAAAAGTGTTTAAATTCCATTTGACTACAAAATTTTCAAAAAATTCATTAACTTGTGTATTTACCAGAATTAAATAATTTTCATCTAATAAATACTTACTATGAGATGATTAAGAGTCTAAGAAAAAAGTGAAAAGTGTTATTTGTAAATTTATAAAAATTTTATGAAAAAAATAAATAAAATTCAAACAAAAATCATAAATTCAGCCACAACAAACAGAAGTGTTTAAAAAAACCTGTGGGTGTTGATAATTGTATCGTACACACAGTCAGTCACTCAGACGACTTGCATTTCTGTTAACGTTTGCAAAAAAAAAAAAAACTAAATACAAAAAATTACAAAAATAAAAAAGAAACTAAACAACAATAATTAACTGTTTGTTTGTTCTTTTTTTATAATTAGTTCTTTCGTTTTATATTTTTCAATTTAACCGACTTTTTATACAATAATGGATGAAAAGGTATGAAGTGTTAAAAACAAAACTAAAAAAAACAACATGAAAAAACTTAAATTATTAGCTATAAACAGTTTTTTATGTGAAAATATCCATGTCTGTGTATTTTAGTTGCATTTTGGCATAATAATATAAAAATAAAAATTTTACTTCTCAGCTTAATTATTAAAATGTTTTCTACAAATAACACTAATGACGATATGACATTAGACAATATTAATTTTTGTACAAATATAATTTTTAATGATCGAAGTGAAGATTTGTTTAGCAAAATGATTTTAAAATATTTTTAATCTTAAGATTTCCTCCTTAACGAAACAAAATATAGGATGATCATTTTTTAACAAATACCTTATAACACAATTCGAATATGCATTTCAATGCATATTTTTAATTTAAGTTATGATGAAACACGGGCCAAGATCGAAAGAAGTTAAGTTAAGTTTATTTGAGTCTTTTAAATATTAAAATAAAATGTTATACATATTTACTATCAGTGATTTTGCTAGACGTTTTGCAGACCATAAATACGCTAACAAAAATTTTAATTATTTTTCCCGCGATAAGCTGAATATTACGGAATCTTTGAGACCCATATCGAAATAATTGCAGACCCATATCGAACATATTGCACTGAGATAAAGATTTTCAATCGCTGGTAGGGAACTGAGGGCCTTTTCAAAAAAAAAAAATTCTTATTTTTTTCATATTTAGTACGCATCGTTTGAGAGGTATTCCTATAAAAAAGTGGTATACGGGACATTCTAATATACATATAGGCGGCGTCATGAAATAACTCCCCAAAACAAAAATGAAATTAGTCCTCCCCATAAATCATTTCGTTGGGGCTTTTTTTCATTTTTAAATTGTGGAATTATTTCATAATGAAATAAGTCCCCAAATTTAGGGAGTTATTTCATTTTTGTTTTGGGAAGTTATTTCGTGGGGAGTTATTTCATGACGCCAAATATGACCAGCACCAACTTCGCTTAGTAAAAATTTCCTAAATAGCCGGCCTAAGGCCGATGGTCTAAGCTTTCTTTTAAGAAAACAAAAATATCCATTTTGAAAAAAATAGGGGAAAATTCGGTGACAAATATTGAAAAAATATTATTCTTGAGTTAAAAAATAATTCTTTTGATAGATATCCCACTCGCATCACATTATGGGACTATAAAGCCCTTAAAGGAAATTGTATAAGCTTTCTTCTAAGCAAGAAAAGAAAGGGCCATTTTGAAAAAAAGTTAAAAAAATGTTGGAAACAATAAAGAAAGAACAATTTTCGCTAGAAGCAATAGGTGAAAAGTTAGACTCATTTGAATAAAACCCTGTATGACAAAATGTCCAACTTTGACCCCCTCTAACTCCGGATTTCTTGACTGATAGAGCTGAAAATGTGTGTCTGGGTTACTATCCAATATACATATCGACCTTGATCCATATGTATAACGACACCCTATATTCAAATAGTTCAATATTGGGTCAAAGTGAGTTGTTGATGACGTCTACTATAAATTTGGGTTCAAAATATTAAATTTTGTGTTTTTGGTGTTTGCTATTTTAAAGTTTAGTATTTTTTAAGAAAATATGTCAGTGTTATATAGTAATTTTAGAAATTTTTTTAAGATTTATTGAATTACGGGAATCTGCTTAAAAAATTTAAATTCAATATTTAGTTTCGGAAATATAGTCAAATTTATTTTACCAATAAATATTTTAATTTTCTTATTTTCCTTTCTACCATAGAGCTTTTGCATTGAAAATAACAACAAATTTGTTATGACCAGGGAAACCAAAAATATGCTCGAATAAAGTGTTTTAAGCGCATTAAATATGAAGTAAAAAAAACTAAACATATGTTCTAAAAATAAAAGTTTTAACTATTATTTAATATTGTATTCATTGTTTCTAGACAGACATTTTAAGTGGTGTTGTCATAGAATTCAACAATTACAATTTGTAAATAATTTTCACTAATCTTAGTGTTATTTGGTGTGCTGATTACGAATATGGAAATAAAAAAGTCGTATCACCCACCAATTTTACACATTTTCATCTTTTAGCCCTTCTGACCGTATATTACAGAAATTGCGAATCGTGGCCATCTCTAAACGCATACTTTGAGTTATAGAAATGTATTCTGATTCTGAAAATTAAAGCAATAGCACCACGTTAACGGGTGGCACTACGGTTCTGAAGGGGAAAACGATTTTTACCAAAAATTTGACACTAAATTTATATTTTTGGATTCTAACAGCAAATAATTGGAATATGTATCTAATCATCGTTCCAATAAGATATACAAATCAGTTACAAATTGTAAAAATTGGTACAAATTCCTCCGATTTCTGAGAATTTTTTTTTTGTAAAATTTTTGAAAAACAGGCTTTATTTATTCTTTATTGTTATACATTTTATATAAAACCTTTTCAGAATATAAAATTTAGAGATGCCAAACGGGGCTGGCTTTTACAAATCCCGGGATTTTACGGGATTACATAAATTTAATTATTTTATATATGAAAATCTTTAAATCTTCATGTTTGTAAAGAAAATTGCTTCATTTGGTGGAAATTTAGCAGACAGAAGATATATTTAAATTAAAACAATCCAATTAATTCCAATTTTTAAATAAAAACTTTTATCCCCATTTTCTCAATGTCTTGTTCTTTTTTATCGAAACGATATTTTGACAGTTTTTATATAAAAAATATTTTAACCGGCAGAATATCTACCGGTTAAACGATAACCGGAGAATGAGATTATGGGCCGTAGAATTTCATAATTTCTGAAACGTTTTAACTATATACTTCCAAATACAAATAAATATCAAGCACTTTTTAAAACCGTTCACTGTTTCATTTGAACTAATTCAATTATTCGAACATCAATGTAGAACCTAAACTTTATGCACATCCGTGAGCTTACCACGTTTGTTACCATTTGTTGTTGTTGTTTTTGTATGTATGTATATACTTGACAACGGATGTTAATTAAAAATTTGGTGTCAATTTGGTACCAGGCGTGTATATTTTTTTTCCTCTGTTTATATCTGAAGTTTTAGTAAAATCGAAATCGTATATTAATCCATAAACTCAAGCTATGCAATATTGGGAAATTTTCTTGAATCTTAGTTTGTTTTTAACCGTTTTAAATGAAACTTCGGAAAGATATATATTGAAGACCCCTGTTTATGATGACATCGAAAAAATCGAAATTAATCCTCAAACGTATATACATTTTTATAATTATATAAAATATCCGTAATATATGAACAAAATATTCGATGCCATTTTGCGAAAAAATAGTGGGTGATACAAAAAATCAGATATCAGACTCGGTTCAGCAGTTAAATTAATTGAACTACTATTGCAAAATTCGGGGAAGTTAGGTAATGAATATAAGATTTATACAAAAATTTTCTGATACGCTTTCGACCTTTTCAATGATAAACCCCTTTTTAATAAGTAATAATTAAATCGTATTTAAAATGATGGAATTTTTCATTTTCATTGTTATTTATTCCAATAAATCACATGGATCTTAAAATTTATTTTATAGAGAAATGGTTAAAATACCTTAACCTATAATATTTTTGAAGTTATTTTAAGTTAAGGAGCATTCGTGAATTAGAAGTAATGTTGCCAACAGCTTCAGGAAAAAAGGCTAAATTGGGATTTACAAAAGGCCAGAAAAAGCTAAAACGTTTAAAAAATAAGGCTAGAAAAAGGCTAACTTTTCACACTTTAAAATCTGCATTAAAACAAGTAAAAAATTACAGTCGAGGATTTCCGACGATATGATAACCTAAATCAATGTTTTTCAAAATGTCTAGAATGGCATTTTATCCAAAAGTTACCAATTCTCATAGAATTTTTAAATATTTATATTCGTATATAATTCTGTTTACCAAACTTATAATTTTTATCATAAAAATCGCTGTCTATGTTTGGCTTACTATCGTGGTAGTTCACAAATCGTAAACAGTTAAGTAGAGCCGAAAAGATTCTAACCGACATTGTGACACTTTTAAAACAGAAATGTATTGGAAAATTTGTTTAAAATTTAAGAAAGGGACACTCTTATCCCAAAAAGAATTACTCTTAAACTTGGTGTATGTTACATTTTGGACTCCTATTAAAAAATGTCCTGGATAGACGGCCTTCGGCCGGGCTCAGGGGTTTCAAACTCTGGGGTATTTCGAACACCGGCTTCGCTAAATTAAGCGTTTTTTATAAATGGACTCTTCCATGGACTTTATGTCCTATTGCTCATGGACATTGTGACACTTTTGAAATTGTCATTATAACTCAATTTAGTGTGTCATAACGTCTATGGACATTATGACATTGGACATTATGGCACGCCACCGATTTTTTTGCCAAAATGACCCGGGAATACGATTTTTATACCCACCATCAAAAAAGATGGGGGGTATATTGATTTTGTCATTCCATTTGTAACACATCGAAATATTGGTCATAGACCCACAAAAGTATATATATTCTGGGTCCTCATTAAATTCTAAGACGATCTAGCCATGTCTGTCCGTCCGTCCGTCTGTCTGTCTGTCTGTTGAAAGCACGATAGAGTCCGAATGGAAAGAGCTAGAGGGTTGAAATTTCACATAAATATTTTTTATAGGTAAGGTTTGTTTGGTATTGAAAATGGGCAATATCCGTCCACGTTTTCGGATAGCCCCCATACAAGTTCCTTATGATCCAAAATCACTATGCAAAATTTTATGAGGATCGGTCCATAATTGACCCTACCCCCCATATAAGGTCCCCTTCAGAAAATGACTTTAACGCTCATTACTGGCTTAAAAATACTAGTATATAGATGAAATTCAACATAAGTAAGTTTCATACGAGTCAAAATCTATCTAAAAAATTTTATGAGGATCGGTCCATGATTGACCCTACCCCCCATATAAGAAAATGACTGCAACGCTCATTAATAACTTAAAAATACGAGTGTAGCGATAAAATTCGACACAAATAAAT